AAAATTATAAGAGATTATAAAATAAAAGGCATGCATTAATACTAAATGAAGCTGTAATATTCATTCAAAGCTAAGAAACATAGATGATTAAATTCAAAAAAGACAAAAAAAATAAAAACATAATAGAAAATTATATAAATATCTAGCTCATATAGTCATATCCATATTACCAAGTTGTTATAAAAAGAGGGTTGTTGCCAACTCAAATTATGCTACCTAAAAACCTTAATCAATGAATCCATATCACTCAAACGTTAAGGTCAATTGAATATTTGGTATTAGATGTTAAGATTAAATTATTAAACTAGAGTCGAAAGCATTCTATTAAAAATTAATGAACATAATTTGTAACATGTTATAGAGACCCTAAATATTAAATTAGCCTTACAAAGAATCACTAACAATGAGTAATGTGTTATTAATGAAATAATCATGCATTCAAATGTCGAAGACTCTTTGGAAAAAAGGGAATCAAAACAGAATATTAGAATATGTAATCCATAATTCCATAAAATATGAATATGAATAATATAAAAAGAACAGGAGAAAGAGAAAGAGAATGACCGCTCCAACATGATGAGTAGAATGTGAAGCGCCGTTAGTCTCTTCAATCCCAGACCATGGTCATGAATCAATCTCCATAAACCTTGAGGATGAAAAGAAATTGACAAATTAACCAAACAAATTTTATAACAAAATAAATCAAAAGAGAGAGAGAGTTGCAAAAGAAATTAAAAAATGTGTAGCATAAGAAATTAGAGAGTTGTGAAAGACTTCAAGAGTAAAGGATGAAATAAGGTAGCAAATGAATTAGAAAAGGAAGCAAGGAGCTCAATTATTCTTTCAATAATGAGAAAAACTTTGCAAGTAGAAACCCTCTGGAGTTTATTCCATCAACTATGTAAGCTTATTAAATGAAATATGGTTTATCATAATCTACTACATAATTTAATTGCCCCTTTCTACCAAAAAAAAATAGTAGCTGTATTCCTATCATCGGGTTAGTGAACAGCCAAACATCAAAACTTAATAGCAAAAGGCAAAAAAAAAAATAATTAAAAAAAGTTTCGTCCCGAATTCAACAAACAGCTAAACATGTTGAATTCAACACAAACAGGAACAATTGCAATATAATCCAAGCATTTCAATTTAAACATCTCAAATTTCACAAAGATGCAGTAACCACCTACAGATTTCTTATATGTTTGTCTTGCTAACATTGGATGTGGTACTCCTTTTATATCAGCATTGGAACTCAGGCAGCTAAATGGCTCAATCTATAAAAGGGAATCTGGATCTCTTGAACTTCTCTATCGATATTATTCTCACAAAACATCTGTCAATAGCATAAGGTGAGTTTATCACAAAGTTTTGAATGTTATAGTTTTTAATTCTTGGTATAATCTGGCTTTAATATAACATGTAGAAGTAACATAGTTCATTATTTGTACCTCAGTATATTATAACAAAATCAGTTTACCTCCTGTATTATTAATTGAATCATCATATTAATTTTTCACCACATTTTAGGTACAATGATGATATATATGATCGAATTTGGGAACCAATGTACTTGATTAATGGGAGCCAAATCAGTACTGAATTTGATGTTATTTCTACCCTCAATGTGTTTCAATTGCCATCATCAGTAATGAAAGCCACAATCATACCAGTAAATGTTAGCGAACCTATCCACTTCATCTACACACCTACTACTAATGAGAGCATGGAATTTTATATCTACCTTCATTTGGCTGAGTGGGACACTCAGTGCTAAACAAGTCAGGGAGTTCAATATTACTGTCAACGGCGTGCATCTTTATGGAACATATAACAAAAAAACCCACGATCGAACATCAGGACATTGAAAACCGCTTTTGGCGAGGTAATTCACAAAGTTTCTTAATACAAGTTCACAAAATCCAGTATAAAAAAACACATAGACTACCTCACCTCTTATCATCAGATTACCTAATTTCGAAATAGATGAGCAAGATCATAATCAAAACCCCAATATAACTTTGTTAAATAAAACCCTAAATTTTTTATTAAAACAGAAACCACATGCAATTGAACAAAATCAAACACTATAAATCAAACAAAATCTAAGATTTGAACTAGAAATTAAATCAAAACACTATAAATCAAACAAAATATAAGATTTGAACTTGAAATTATGCAAAAGAACCCTAAATTTGGAATTTAAGTGGGAATGTTTAAAGAAGCGCATACCACGAACATCAATCTGAACCCTAGAAATCAGACTCCACCATCACCATCACTGACCACCGTCATTGTGCTTGGTTATACTGACCACTGACCACCGACCACCGCCATTATGCTTGGTTCTACTCTTCAATGGAAAGAGAAGGGAGTTCGAGGGAGAAGAAGGGACGGAGCTTCAATAAAGCTTGCATATCTAAACTTGCGGACGGAGCTTCAATGGAGCTTCAATGGGTTTGGTTAAGGAGAGAAAGAGAGGAGGAGCGACATATGAGGAGAGAAAATGAAAATAAAAAAAAAAAAAAAAAAAAAAAAAAGGGAAAGAGATTAAGAGAATGAGTAGGGAAAGGGGAAAAAACGGTCGGGTTTTTTTTAAAAAAATCCCACTGGTTTGAACCGGTGGCCTTTAAGGTATTTGGCACCGGTTTGGTTTGAACCGATGCTAAATCAAGTAAACTAAATTTTACATTGTTTTTTTCCCATCGGTTTTGAAGAACCGGTGCCAATTTATCGGTGCGTATTAGTATTTTTCTACTAGTGTATGATTGGTACAATCTACAAACGAATTCATGTAAAAAATTTACACAAAGAGCTAGTAATTTGAAAACCTCAAAATCGATTTTTAGGGTTTTAACGTACGATTTTCGGCAAAATTCTCAACAAAAGGCATAAAACGGGGGTTGTTGAGATTCTGGGTTGATTTGGTGGACTTGAATTTATTTGTCGTCGTCATCTTTGGCACTGTTGGAGTAGCTTCGAAGGATATCTATTGAAGAAGAAAATGAAGAAAAGAGGTTACTCGGTTAGTCAAGGTTTACTTGGTCGTGAGTTACTCGGCCGGTCAGAGTTACTAGGTCTGTCATGGGTTGTTCGATCAGTCAGGTGTTACTTGTGTGTTAGCTGGCCACACAGTGTGGCCAACAATACACCAAATTTGTTGCTTATTTAAATATTTGAAACAAAATTTATAATTTATTTTATGATAAAAAAAAAAATCAAGTCATAAGCAAGAGAATATAACATAGTTTATCATTGTATTAGTACAATGAGCTCATTAGAATGTTCGATTATTAGCAAATTAAATTTGAAAAAGTTCTTTTTTCTTTAAGAATGGTCACAAAAGTAACTAAGCCCTAGAAAACCTGTAGAAACAACAACTATTTAATATAATGAAATAACGAAAAAAGAGCTGTAACCTTCTGTAAGGTGTTTAATTTGTGCCCGCATAAGGTTTGGGACTTTAATTTGTGTAACGCCCCGATTTCTAATTCAGTTATTAAGAGAATCTTAGCAGCAAAGTTAACCTAACTCGATGGAGGCGTCGCTGTCGTAACTCCCTCTGATCTCAGGATTTACAAGGCAACAATCATACTTAGTCAATAAACATTAGATAAAAATGGCATCCATCAAAAATTGATTCTTCCTAAATTACTTTTCGCATTCATGACTTTATGCTCAAACATTTGATAAAAGTAACTCCTATACAAAATTGGCTAAAAACTGATGAGTGCAATTTATGGCAATCATTTGATGAGTTTTAAGGTTGTTTTTACCTTCTTTTTATATAGCTTTCTTTCTAAATAAATGCTTAGTTTAATTCATTTTCTCTTGAGTTTCCTTATTCTTTCTTATTTTGTGGTTTTGTGCACTTTTGTGGATTTTCTAGTGTTTTCTCCTTCATTTGTTCTTTTTCATGGTTGTAGGTATTGTATGAGATTCAGGTCTTGATATTGGTGGCTTACAAAGTTGGAAGATGCCTTTTAAGCAATCTCATAGCATTGGGAAAGATACAGAATTAAGAAAGTGTCATGCTCCAAGCTGTAGCTCTTGCGCTCTCATGAAACCATGGTGTTGAACCCACCATCAAGTCTATTTAATTCTTCCATTCTTAGTGACTATCATGAGGATTGCACCATTCACATCATGCATGCACCAAAGAAGTGTCTTGCTCAGAGAGCGCGGCGCGCGCATCTTCATCTTACTTGGGAGCGCAATTGACGAGGGGTGAAACTAGGTCGTTGACTAATCCTCCCTCGGTCAAACTAAATTTATAAATACTAAACAAACCTAAATAAAAGTATAGAGTCAAGTCAAGGGTTGAACCAAAACGAACGGTAACGTTCAAATGCTTTCAATTTAGGCGCCTAAGCTAGGTCGAAGACAAAGATAAAGAGATAACACTAACATCTAACAAACAGAGAAACCAAAAAAATAAAGCACTAGGGAATGGGGATCAACAAGTAATCATGGAAATTGTAGCAACTCCGGAACAACATGAAAATCAATGGTTGCGAAGACTAATTTTAACATCAATCAAAAGAGCTCGACAAGCTATCTCTTAGAGGTCTTGCTGGCTCCAACTACAAGAGACTCAAACTAAAAACGTCAAAAACCAAACTCAATCGACAATTGCAAGCTACAAATCAATGGTCCGTATCAATGTAGACTCACAATGCAATCTAGCATAATTCTTAAGGCCTAATCGAATTACACACATGCACAATTTCCATTAATCACTTTAATATCAACAATTAATCAACATAATCCCCAAATTATACACAATCAATAAATCATACAAGTTTCACCCAATTCCTAACTAAACTACTCTAGAATCATTTTCATTACATTAATCAAGAACGAATCATCAAAATCAAACCAAACAAACGTAAAATTAAACCAAACAATAAAATGAGATAGAGTTAGAAATGCTCATTAATAATAGAGAAGATCTTCTAACACAATTGTCACCATTGAATTTTCAATCTCTCAATCACCATTGAAATTCCTCAATTTCTCTCTCTAAAATCTACTCCTAAACTAACCCTAAATCTAGAGAGAGAAGCTCTCAACTAAGCAAAAATTATGAATTCTAATTACAAATATCGGGTTACAAGTAGAAATTTATACGAGGCACGAAATGAAATCGAGCAAAAATAGGAACCCGAGAAGGTATGCCCACTCAGCTGGGATGCGCGCCCGCGCTCCTCTAGGTTTCTACGGTTCTTCTCGAGGCTTCGTGTGTTCGCTAAGGGACTTCGAGTGAACGCGCATTTATGAAGAGGCAGTAACTAAAAGCACTTGACAGTGGGTTTAACACCACATCCTCATGAGAGCACGGCTTGAGAGCGCAAGAGCTAGAACTTGGAGAATCTACTTCCTTGCACCTTGAAGTCCCAATGCTATAAGCTTGCTCCAAATGCATCTTCCACCTTAATAATCCTTCCATATCAAGACCCGAACCTCGTACAATACCTACAACCATGAAAAGAGAACAAATAAAGGATAAAACACTAGAAATACCATAGAATTGCTCAACACCGCAAAATAAGAAAGAAAAAGTAAAAAAAAAAAAAAAAAACAAAAAAAGAGCAAAAGCATGAAACTAAGCATTTATTAATGGGTGTCATTTATGACACCCATCAAATTCCTCCAAGCTTATCTTTTGCTCGTCCTCGAGAAAAACAAAACCTAGGGAAAGAAAATGACGAGTTTATTCAAACAAACAAAAGAAAAGACAAGACAAGCAAGAATATACACTAACTCCCTTTTGTAGGAATCACGGTCAATTTTAGCAGCTAAGGACAAGCCGTTTAAACCCCTAGATCGTCATAGAGGACGAGTAATACTCTCGTAAGGGTTTCCTAAGAGATTGACCCATAACTCTTTGTAGACCCATTTGTGTCTCCCCAAAACCAATCCCGATGATGAATACTTTTCACGTCGTATCATAATCGAATGAAGTGAAAGTGTGGAAAGTCTAGTGTTGCGGTTAGTTTTTATTAATTTTCTTTCTCTCTATTTTTGAAAACCTATTTTATGAAAATAGCCAATCCAGTTTAGTTTGGTCCATGGAAAAAATCCAAAAAATAGTGTAGTTAAATCGTGTTGGAATACAGCTTTCCAACGACATATTATAAGCCCTATTCCTTATGGCCAAATTACTAAACTAGGCCCAGTTTGATTTTTATATGCGGCTCGATGATCTAGAGGAGGGCCTATTATGATTTATCATTCCTATTGCAATTAAGATTGATTATAATCTTCTAGAATTTTCTAGAAGGTTCTTTTGAATCCTAATGCCATTAGCATTGATAATTAAGTTTTAAGAGTTTTATTTAGTTAAAAGAAGTGTTTTAAGTGAAATTACAGTTTTATCCCTCGTACGCTTAAATTTTATCAAAATATGAAAACGTGTGAAAAAAACTGTCTGCAGCGCCGCACCACAGGTTGTCGCCTGGCGACATACTTGTCGCTACGGCGACACATCTATCACTCGGCGATAGAGGCTTGTGCGGCGACAGCTTCGTGTTTTATTTTCTTGAATCTCCGATTCTTTTTTATCATATTCCGGATGATTTTTGTTATAAATAGCCTCCTTAAACCTCTGTTTTTAATCACCAACTCTCATCAAGAAATCTTGATACTCTCTCTCTCTTTTTCTAAACCAGCTTTTACAAACAAAATTCCGCATTCACAAGATCTAGACACACCTAGCCAAGTTCGAAGTTGCCTTCGCCCAAGACATGAAAGAAAGAGGTACGAGACATCCAAGTAAGTACTTTAATTGTTTAATTGATATTATGATATAAAAATCATATTTAGATTGTTATTTTGATTTCTAATATCATGTTTAGGAAGTTTTTCCTAGTATAATGTTAGGATGTTTTTCTTAGTATGATGTTTAGGGTGATTTGCTTATATCAATGCTTCTTATTTTCTTTCCTAATATCATGTTAGTATCATGTTTGGGCTAAAGTTTTAATTTTTATTGTTTAGTGACATGCAATGGTTTGTTATTAATCTTGTTAATATCATGCTTAGGATCTGGCTATTATTATGCTATATTATTATGATTTATTACTATGATAATTATAATTTATAATGATTATTGTAGTTTATTTTAGATCTATAATTTCATATTGATTATAAAAATTACATCAGCAGGTTTTCTGTGTGATTGGACATATAGTGTGGCCAATTGAGACACACCAAATTATGAACTGTGTAACCCCTAACAGTCTGAGTAACCCTTGATCCAAAATATTATTCTTTCGTATTAAGAACCAGAGTAAACTCGCACGATGCACAACTTAAATAAACAAATTTTTTAAATTTGTTTCATTTTTATTATGTCAAATTTTTTTAAAAAAACCAAAAATAAATATTACATCAAATATTTTTTTTTTTAGAAAAAATATCTTATAGAAAATTAAATGATGAAAGGGGTATTAAGGAAGAGAAATTAAATTATTTATGTTGTATTTAGAAAGCCAATAGTAATAATAATATAGCTAATCAAAATTTTAATTAAATTAAATAAAATTCATAAAATAATGTCATCATGTATAATTTTGCAGGGAAAATTTTAAATAACAACTTGACACGTTTCTAGGATGATGTTTGCAGTTGTTATTTTAGTATTAATTATAGATCATAGGTTTTAACACCAACTTTCATATGTGGTTGACAACACTGTTTGGCTATCCACAATATTTCTTTTTTGCCACTTTTCACTCCTTAATTCCTTATTATATTCTCTTCTCATACTTTACTCTCTCTCCTACCTTTCCATAAGGATGATTTCTCTCACCTATAGTGTTGATACTCACGTTGTTTATCATTCTTATTTACAAAATTGGTAGAAGCTTCCATGCTAGCCTTCATACAATCAACACCTTTTGCCAAAGCAAGCTCTTGATCCTTTTTTCCGGAGGAACTTTCCTCCCTTTCTTCTGAAAGCAGTCTCAGATACTTCCATGAGTCACAAGTAGTAACAAAAATTATAAGAGATTATAAAATAAAAGGCATGCATTAATACTAAATGAAGCTGTAATTTTCATTCAAAGGTAAGAAACACAGATGATTAAATTCAGAAAAGACAAAAAAAATAAAAACATAATAGAAAATGATATAAATATCAAGCTCATATAGTCATATCCATATTACCAAGTTGTTATAAAAATAGGGTTGTTGCCAACTCAAATTATGCTACCTAAAAACCTTAATCAATGAATCCATATCACTCAAACGTTAAGGTCAATTGAATATTTGGTATTAGATGTTAAGATTAAATTATTAAATTAGTGTCGAAATCATTATATGAAAAATTAATGAACATAATTTGTAACATGTTATAGAGACCCTAAATATTAAATTAGCCTTACAAAGAATCACTAACAATGAGTGATGTGTTATTAATGAAATAATCATGCATTCAAATGTCGAAGACTCTTTGGAAAAAAAGGGAATCAAAACAGAATATTAGAATATGTAATCCATAATTCCATATAATATGAATATGAATAATATAAAAAGAACAGGAGAAAGAGAAAGTGAATGACCGCTCCAACATGATGAGTAGAATGTGAAGCGCCGGCAGTATCTTCAATCCCAGACCATGCTCCAGAATCAATCTCCATAAACCTTGAGGATGCAAAAGAAATTGACAAATTAACCAAACAAATTTTATAACAAAATAAATCAAAAGAGAGAGAGAGTTGCAAAAGAAATTAAAAACTGTGTAGCAAAAGAAATTAGAGAGTTGAAAAAGACATCAAGAGTAAAGGATGAAATAAAGTAGCAAATGAATTAGAAAAGGAAGCAAGGAGCTCAATTATTCTTTCGATAATCAGAAAAACTTTGCAAGTAGAAACCCTCTGGAGTTTATTCCATCAATTATGTAGGCTTATTGTATGAAATATGGTTTATCATAATCTACTACATAGTTTAATTTCCCCTTTCTACCAAAAAAAATAGTAGCCGTATTCCTATCATCAGGTCAGTGAACAGCCAAACATCAAAACTTAATATCAAAAGGCAAAAAAAAATAATTAAAAGAAGTTTCGTCCCGAATTCAACAAACAACTAAACATGTTGAATTCATCACAAATAGGAACAATTGCAATATAATCCAAGCATTTCAATTTAAACATCTCAAATTTCACAAAGATGCAGTAACCATCTACAGATTTCTTATATGTTTGTCTTGCTAACATTGGGTCTGGTACTCCTTTCATATCAGCATGGAACTCAGGCAGCTAAATGGCTCAATCTATAAAAGGTAATCTGGATTTCTTGAAATTCTCTATCGATATTATTCTCACAAAACATCTGTCAGTAGCATAAGGCGAGTTTATCACAAAGTTTTCAATGTTATAGTATTTAATTCTTGGTATAATCTTGCTTAATATTACATGTAGAAGTAACATAGTTCATTATTTTTACCTTAGTGTATTATAACAAGATCAGTTTTCCTCCTGTATTATTAATTGAATCATCATATTAATTTTTCACCACATTTTAGGTACAATGATGACATATATGATCGAATTTGGGAACCAATGTACTTGATTAATGGGTGTCAAATCAGTACTGAATTTGATGTTATTCCTACCCTCAATGTGTTTCAATTGCCATCATCAGTAATGAAAGCAGCAATCATACCATTAAATGTTAGCGAACCTATTCACTTCACCTACACACCCACTACTAATGAGAGCATGGAATTTTATATCTACCTTCATTTGGCTGAGTGGGACACTCAGTGCTAATGAAGTCAGGGAGTTCAATATTACTGTCAACGGCCTGCATCTTTATGGACCGTATAACAAAAACAGCCACGATCGAACATCAGGACATTAAAAACCGCTTTTGGCGAGGTAATTCACAAAGTTTCTTAATACAAGATCACAAAATCCAGTATAACAAAACATATAGACTACCTCACCTCTTATCATCAGATCTCCTAATTTCGAAATAGATGAGTAAGATCATAATCAAAACCCCAATATAACTTTGTTCGTTAAAACCCTAAATTTTTAATTAAAACAGAAAACACATGCAATTGAACAAAATCAAACACTATAAATCAAACAAAATCTAAGATTTGAACTAGAAATTAAATCAAAACACTATAAATCAAACAAAATATAAGATTTGAAATGGAAATTATGCAAAAGAACCCTAAATTTAGAATTTAAATGGGAAAGTTTAAAGAAGCGCATACCACAAACACCAATCTGAACCCTATAAATCAGCCTCCACCATTACCATCACCGGCCACCGTCCTTGTGCTTGGTTATAATGACCACTGACCACCGACCACCGACCACCGCCATTATGCTTGGTTCTACGCTTCAATGAAGAGAGAAGGGAGTTCAAGGGAGAAGAAGGGAGAAGAAGGGACGGAGCTTCAATAAAGATTTCATATCTAATCTTGCAGACGGAGCTTCAATGGAGCTTCAGTGGGTTTGGTTAAGGAGAGAGAGAGAGGAGGAGCGACATATGAGGAGAGAGAATCAAAATAAAAAAAGAAAGGGAAAGAGATTAAGAGAATGAGTAGGGAAGGGAAAAAACGGCCGGGTTTTTTTTTAAAAAAATGCCACCGGTTTGAACCGGTGGCCTTTAAGGTATTTGGCACCGGTTTGGTGTGAACCGGTGCTAAATTTAGTAAACTAAATTTTACATTGTTTTTTTCCCATCGGTTTTGAAGAACCATAGCCAATTTGTCGGTGCGTATTTGTATTTTTCTACTAGTGTATATGATAGGTACAATCTACAAACGAATTCATGTAAGAAATTTACACAAAGAGCAAGTAATTTGAAAACCCCAAAATCAATTTTTAGGTTTTAACGTGCGATTTTCGGCATAATTCTCAACCAATTTCGCAACAAAAGGCATAAAACGGGGGTTGTTCAGTTTCTGGGTTGATTTGGTGGACTTGAAGTTATTTGTCGTCGTCATCCTTGGCGTTGTTGGAGTAGCTTCGAAGGATATCCATTGAAGAAGAAAATGAAGAATAGAGGTTACTCGGTTAGTCAGGGTTTACTTGGTCGTGAGTTACTCGGCCGGTCAGAGTTACTAGGTCTGTCATGGGTTGCTCGGTCAGTCAGGTGTTACTTGTGTGTTAGCTGGCCACACAGTGTGGCCAACAATACACCAAAGTTGTTGCTTATTTAAATATTAGAAACAAAATTAATAATTCATTTTATAATAAAAAAAATAAAATCAAGTCATAGGCAAGAGAATATAACATAGTTTATCATTGTATTAGTACAATGAGCTCATTAGAATGTTCGATTATTAGCAAATTAAATTTGAAGAGTTCTTTTTTCTTTAAGAATGGTCACAAAAGTAACTAAGCCCTAGAAAACCTGTAGAAACAACAACTATTTAATACAATGTAATAACGTAAAAAGAGCTGTAACCTTCTGTAAGGTGTTTAATTTGTGCCCGCATAAGGTTTGGGACTTTAATTTGTGTAACGCCCCGATTTCTAATTCAGTTATTAAGAGAATCTTAGCAGCAAAGTTAACCTAACTCGATGGAGGCGTCGCTGTCGTAACTCCCTCTGATCTCAGGATTTACAAGGCAACAATCATACTTAGTCAATAAACATTAGATAAAAATGGCATCCATCAAAAATTGATTCTTCCTAAATTACTTTTCGCATTCATGACTTTATGCTCAAACATTTGATAAAAGTAACTCCTATACAAAATTGGCTAAAAACTGATGAGTGCAATTTATGGCAATCATTTGATGAGTTTTAAGGTTGTTTTTACCTTCTTTTTATATAGCTTTCTTTCTAAATAAATGCTTAGTTTAATTCATTTTCTCTTGAGTTTCCTTATTCTTTCTTATTTTGTGGTTTTGTGCACTTTTGTGGATTTTCTAGTGTTTTCTCCTTCATTTGTTCTTTTTCATGGTTGTAGGTATTGTATGAGATTCAGGTCTTGATATTGGTGGCTTACAAAGTTGGAAGATGCCTTTTAAGCAATCTCATAGCATTGGGAAAGATACAGAATTAAGAAAGTGTCATGCTCCAAGCTGTAGCTCTTGCGCTCTCATGAAACCATGGTGTTGAACCCACCATCAAGTCTATTTAATTCTTCCATTCTTAGTGACTATCATGAGGATTGCACCATTCACATCATGCATGCACCAAAGAAGTGTCTTGCTCAGAGAGCGCGGCGCGCGCATCTTCATCTTACTTGGGAGCGCAATTGACGAGGGGTGAAACTAGGTCGTTGACTAATCCTCCCTCGGTCAAACTAAATTTATAAATACTAAACAAACCTAAATAAAAGTATAGAGTCAAGTCAAGGGTTGAACCAAAACGAACGGTAACGTTCAAATGCTTTCAATTTAGGCGCCTAAGCTAGGTCGAAGACAAAGATAAAGAGATAACACTAACATCTAACAAACAGAGAAACCAAAAAAATAAAGCACTAGGGAATGGGGATCAACAAGTAATCATGGAAATTGTAGCAACTCCGGAACAACATGAAAATCAATGGTTGCGAAGACTAATTTTAACATCAATCAAAAGAGCTCGACAAGCTATCTCTTAGAGGTCTTGCTGGCTCCAACTACAAGAGACTCAAACTAAAAACGTCAAAAACCAAACTCAATCGACAATTGCAAGCTACAAATCAATGGTCCGTATCAATGTAGACTCACAATGCAATCTAGCATAATTCTTAAGGCCTAATCGAATTACACACATGCACAATTTCCATTAATCACTTTAATATCAACAATTAATCAACATAATCCCCAAATTATACACAATCAATAAATCATACAAGTTTCACCCAATTCCTAACTAAACTACTCTAGAATCATTTTCATTACATTAATCAAGAACGAATCATCAAAATCAAACCAAACAAACGTAAAATTAAACCAAACAATAAAATGAGATAGAGTTAGAAATGCTCATTAATAATAGAGAAGATCTTCTAACACAATTGTCACCATTGAATTTTCAATCTCTCAATCACCATTGAAATTCCTCAATTTCTCTCTCTAAAATCTACTCCTAAACTAACCCTAAATCTAGAGAGAGAAGCTCTCAACTAAGCAAAAATTATGAATTATAATTCTAATTACAAATATCGGGTTACAAGTAGATATTTATAAGAGGCAAGAAATGAAATCGAGCAAAAATAGGAATTCGAGGAGGTATGCCCACTCAGTTAGGATGGGCGCCCGCGCTCCTCTGGGTTTCTACGGTTCTTCTCGAGGCTTCGTGTGTTCGCTAAAGGACTTTGAGTGAACACGCATTTATGAAGAGGCAGTAACTAAAAGCACTTGATAGTGGGTTCAACACCACATCCTCATAAGAGCACGGCTTGAGAGCGCAAGAGCTTGAAATTGGAGAATCCACTTCCTTGCACCTTGAGATTTCCCAATGCTATAAGCTTGCTCCAAATGCATCTTCCACTTTAATAATCCATCCATACCAAGATCCGAACCTCGTACAATACTTACAACAATGAAAAGAGAACAAATAAAGGATAAAACACTAGAAAAACCATAGAATTGCACAACACCGCAAAATAAGAAAGAAAAGGTAAAAAAAAAAGAGCAAAAGCATGAAACTAAGCATTTATTAAGAAAGAGAGCTATGAAAAGTAGGTAAAAACAACCTAAATACTCATCAAATGGGTGCCATTTATGACACCCATCAAATTCCCCCAAGCTTATCTTTTGCTCGTCCTCGAGCAAAACAAAACCAAGGGAAAGAAAATGACGAGTTTATTAAAAAAAACACAAGAAAACACGAGATAAGCAAGAATATACACTAACTCACTTTTTTAGGAATCACGGTCAATTTTAGCAGCTAAGGACAAGCCGTTTAAACCCCTAGATCGTCCTAGAGGACGAGTAATACTCTCGTAAGGGTTTCCTAAGAGATTGACCCATAACTCTTTGTAGACCCATTTGTGTCTCCCCAAAACCAATCCCGATGATGAATACTTTTCACGTCGTATCATAATCGAATGAAGTGAAAGTGTGGAAAGTCTAGTGTTGCGGTTAGTTTTTATTAATTTTCTTTCTCTCTATTTTTGAAAACTAATTTTATGAAAATAGCCAATCTAGTTTAGTTTGGTCCATGGAAAAGTTCCAATAATAGTGTAGTTGGATCGGGTTTGAATAGACCTTTCCAACGATATATTATAAGCCCAATTTCGATGAATAATGAGGAAGTTATGGCCAAATTACTAAACTCGGCCCAGTTTGATTTTTATATACGGCTCAATGATCTAGAGGAGGGCCTATTATGATTTATCATTCCTAATGCAATTAAGATTGATTATAGTCTTCTAGAATTTCCTATAAGGTTCTTTTGAATCCTAATGTCATTAGCATTGATAATTGAGTTTTAAGAGTTTTATTTAGAACAAAAGAAGTGTTTTAAGTGAAATTACAGTTTTATCCCTCGTACGCTTAAATTCTATCAAAATATGAAAATGTGTGAAAAAACTGTCTGCAGCGCCGCACCACAGGCAGTCGCCTGGCGACATACCTATCACTACGGCGACACGTCTATTACTCGGCGACAGAGGCTTGTGCGGCGACATCGCCGTGTTTTATTTTCTCGAAACTCCAATTCTTTTTTATCATATTCCGGCTGATTTTCGTTATAAATATCCTCCTTAAACCTCCGTTTTTAATCACTAATTCTCATCAAGAAATCTTGATACTCTCTCTCTCTTTTTTTAAACCACCTTTTTACAAACAAAATTCCGCATTCACAAGATCTAGACACACCTAGCCAAGTTCGAAATTGCCTTCGCCCTAGACGTGAAAGAAAGATGTACGAGGCATCTAAGTAAGTACTTTAATTGTTTAATTGATATTATGATATAGAAATCTTATTTAGATTGTTATTTTGATTCCTAGTATCATGTTTAGGAAGTTTTTCCTAGTATAATGTTAGGATGCTTTTCTTAGTATGATGTTTAGGGTGATTTGCTTATATCAATTATGATTTCTATGATGCTTCTTATTTTCTTTCCTAATATCATGTTAGTATCATGTTTGGGCTAAAGCTTTGATTTTTATTGTTTAGTGACATGCTAGGGTTTGTTATTAATCTTGTTAATATCATGCCTAGGATCTGGCTATTATTATGCTCTATTATTATGCTTTATTACTATGATTATTATAAATTATGATGATTATTGTTGCTTGTTATTTATTTTTATTACTTGATCACACCTTTTATGTATGTTTACAGGGAATTGGTACTTGTAATCACGCTCAATAAGATAATTAATAATCTTGTTTAGGGTTCATTTGGTTATTGTTTCGGGGTTTTTTGATGTCCTGCGGGAGAGTTACAATTCTGAGACTGGAACCGGACGCCTGTACCTGCAAAACAAACGGATGTTCCGGACGATTGGAGATCCGCCTCCGACGGTCAAGTTAGTACTTGATTAAGGAGTAATTAATGCGGAAATAAAAGTAATTGGGTCTCTCTAGGTGAGAGTGTTAAATGTGCGTAATCCCCCTTAATGAGGATTAATGGGCATATTTATATGCCTTGGGATGCGTGCCAGTACTAGGTTTAGGTTAAACCTAAGGCTGACTGGGCCTCCCACAATGATTGGGCCTTG